TCCTTTAAAATATGCATTAATTTTTGCCTTACAGTTGAAAAACCACTTTTTTATTTTATTAATTGGATACAACAATCCAAAATATTTTAGGATACATCCAAGAATAAAATCTTTTTGTTGCTCATGGTAGACCATTTACAACTTCCAAATACCCTAAGAAGAATACTAAAAAGGCCTCTATCCCAATCTTTTCAGGACCTATCCTTCCTTCTTCCCAACCTATTCATTTTATACAATCTGTTCAAAAATGTCCAATGACTCATTTGCCTTTAAAGGAAAAAAAAGCGAAGTTACCCTAACATTCAAGGACCTCGTATCTGGCTTTCCACCGAAGTTTCCCATTTTACCCTTACATACATCCCCTCCAACTGGCAAAGGCTTTATTCACCTTCTCCAGGTAAATATCTCCTGTAGTTCCCCCTCCATGCAGCACTCCTTGATATGCCTGCCTGGAATCTAAGACAGATGTTCCTCCTAAGCCTTAAGAAGATATCTTTGTCCATCGCTCTTTTTTTTCTGCCTATTGTTCTGGCTTTCTATTATCATATCATGACCCTGGCTGCATCTAACACAATGCCTTGTACATAGTAGCTTCAACATCAAGCTTATTATGAGATAAACAGAGGACCAGATATATTTATCTTTAAATATTTTTCCAATGAGATTAGATAGTTCAGGTTCTAAAGAGAAGTACAACCAAGCTACAGATAGATAAAGCGGGAGAATCAGCCAAAGATTCTTATCAGCAACCAGAAAAGTTTAGTTTCAATATATACGAATAACTGAAAAAGCACTTCATGTAAAATCTGTAAAATCAAAAAACGTTATACATTTAAACTGGTCACATAGTCTACTAGGAAAAGGCAAAACTGCATATAAAGATCATAAATGCCTATTAAATACATGCTTACAGAGCATCATTTAGAAGGAACTAAAGTTATTTCTACAGATGGTATTAACCTATATTTAAAATGATTTTTAATTGCGATTATTTAAGATTACTGATAGAAGAAAACAAAATGAGTTGGCTTGTGTTCATGTGCATGAACATCACTAGAAAGCATTTTTTAAAAAGTTAGCATTTTCTGGCCCTCCCTGGGGGCGCAGTGGGTTAAAGCACAGCGGTGAGAAGCTAAAGCCACTTCCGCATGAGTT